GAGAGAGAGAGAGAGGGGTAGAGTTAATTTTTCGAAATTTCTGCGTTATCGTCTCCTTTTTTGTTCGAAAAATTTTACATTTCATTATCATTGCTTGCGATCTTAGTTCATGGTACTCAAGTCTAAATATATATCACGAATAAAATCGCAGGAATTTCGAAGAGGATGCATTCTCATCAGGGCATACATAAGCATCGCAACGTAAGTCTCAACGTGACGTGATGCGGTACGGTCCGGCGTGCAGCTGCGTTTAAAGTAACGAGATGACTGTAGGCAGAGATGAGATAACTCGGTCTCAATAATTCAGATACCTAACAGCTTAGTCCTGTCCCGTACATAATGTAGTCTCTTCTCTCCCATCGCGTACATCGGGCACACTCTCACCCCTCTTACCCCGTCGGTCGCCTTCTTGCTTTGACTGCCAATCCTCCATACGCCCCGTCACCTCTTTCAGTCCCTATGCCTCTCCGCCGAGAGCTTCTTGGCTTTTAAACTGTCAAACGTTCGAATCCGTTGGCTGAATCGTTTCGATCTTCGCCGGGCTCGACCAACTCCACCGATTCACTTCGTTAAACATTCATAGGTTACAGTGTAGGATCAGACTAGTAAGCATTGAAACATGATTTGTAGACTCGACACAATATATCGCGCGCGCGTAATACAACGTTAAATAGTGAAAAAAATCAATTAACATATATTTATGTGTTATGACTTTCGAAATTAGGGTTTTATTGACGAGTTATTCTAAATTTGTAAAGTCAATTGTAAAGTCAAGTTTCAGAAAACATCTTGTTTAAATGCAATACATGAAAGTAATTCAGAAATTAGAAGACGCGGCGCAATCTGCAACAGTCAATTATTAATAAAATAATGATAAAAATTACGAGATGCAGCAGTTAATTAGAGAAGAAGAATTGTAAGGGCGTTCTTTATTTGCACACTGAGCACGCTGTATCGGGGTCTGAGCGTGCGCTGAAGTATAAAGATAAGAGTAATGTGTCCCAGGTTGCGAGAGAATACGGTTATGCCGGCCGCAGCGAATAGGGCGAGGCTGCGTCGGGGCTGCAAAATGTAATCGGCACAGTGTCGTCAATTATTAATCACTAACCGCGTTAATTGCTTGCAGTGGCGTAGGTGCACCTGTCACTGTAACAGTGGCGTAGCCACAATGGATTCTGAAGATGGGCGCGCAAATCAGCAAGGTTCAATTGCCTTAATAAAAGAGGCTAATAAAAGCGGCAACGCGCTAAATCTTGCTTCCATCTTCTATCTTGAGTTTATTACTTACTTTATTGTTTTTTCGTACTAATGTACGATAAATAATTCACGCCATAATTTTGTTATTCGTATAATCTATTCGATCTTGCATTGCAACAATATACAACAATGACTGAAATGTATATAAATAAAAGCGTACTTTCCTGTATTAAATATTTTTTTAGAAATTAGCGATATATATTCTTGATTTTATTTAAATGTATATGCGTCATTTTATGTAAACTTATGTAAAAAGTAAAACACGCTATTTTTTATTTAATGATTATACATGCTCATTAAGAAGATCAATTTAAAGTAACGAAAGTTATAAAGTGCGGTCGAGGCTTTTGAGTATTAAAAAATAAATTTTGAAAGCGAATGATCGTCGGCGACACCAGATAGCTCATTTATTCGTACTTACTCATTTATTCGAATGAAGAAAATTACAGGAAATTGTTGAGTCGTGTTGCTCAACTCATGGCCAAAAAGGGCAAGCAAAAAAAGGGCCAATAAGATAATACCTATATCGCGATGGGTTGGTACGCAACGTAATTTGTGAAGAGGACACGAGTGCCCGCCACCGGTCTTTAAAAGGTCTTTAGGTCTAGCATTACGCCAGGAAGAACCAGTTTTAGGAAATTATAACGATCATGATGTGGGAAAACATTGGGATCAAGTCGAACTCAATCGGCTTTACCGTATGTCCAATTTTCATCCTGTCACGAAAACATTTTGACAAGAGATGACCGCCGAAACCTGTCTGAATTTATTCTGATTAGATTGTCTGTAACTTCCAATTAAAGATATAAAAAAGAAGATATTTTCAACAACGGTAATTTAGAAATATGATCGTAATGAATGCGATGACGCATATGAAGGAATATAGTTCGCAATTCGTCACATTGGGCGGTCGTGCGCACTCTATCGACCTTACCAAACGCGTCGGCCATTTTGCAGCGTCCTAATAAACTTAAGAAGCTAGAAAACAGACATCACGCAAGTCACTCTGTGACAAGGTGGACTCTACTTCGCTATAGTGAATTAAATTAACTTTATTACATCCGTTTTCTGTTTTCCGCTTAACAGCTGCCACTCTATTTTCGTCATCTTTTTCACTCTGTCTCGTTTCCTCTCTAAGCTTGCTTCTTCATACGCGTTTCCTAAACGTGATAGCGTACAGTTAAAAACTTCGGTCATCGTATATCTATGTGATAGTCAACTTAACGAATGTAGGAGTAGTTTCAGAGAGTTCTGAGATAACAATTGATTCGGACAACACCTTCTGATTCTGTTACAGGAGACAAACTGCAGAAGAGAGAGAAGCCGAGAGGCAGGCCGCGAATCGGTTGATGATGTCTCTGCAAGCAGAAGCTCTCGGCAAGGTGGCGTATTCAACATCGGTATCTGGGCATCCGGGTGGTGCTCCTGTATCCAGTCTGGATAGGCAGCAAACCTCAACGACGGCCCTGAGCCATCCTGTCGGGCAATGGGCCTCCCCTTACGGCCCGCCACAGCCTCTAGCTGAGCCGATTTGCTGAAGCGCAACGACAGTTCGAGAGATTCTTGTTAAGTGAATCGTTGTTCTCATCATTCTTTTCCTATATCGAAAATCAGAACAAATTTTTCTTTTTGTTTGTAATTGTTTTAGTTAACGAACGAGAAAATCGACTGAGATGAGATAACAACACAGATTGTTTTTTCTTTTCATTTTAGAGTAATTACGGATCATAAACTATTAGCATCGCCTTCTTTTTGCCTTATGATATTCAAACGACTACCATCAAACACGAACGTCCTAAAGAGCACCGCGAAATCGATTGTACATTGCCTTACAACGTCACATACTCGGAGCTATATTATACTTATTAGCTACATAGCTCGAGATTTTGCCATATAACTGTCACGGTTTGAACAGTTAATCAGCGCGGTACAATAGCGCACGAGGCGCGATAATCATCGTAAATTTATTATGTACGAACAATCGGATCACATTAAAAGCGTCCATTCCTTTTCGTGGAGCGAGGATTATTGCAATTAGCTTCGATTGACGCGGCATTATCGACATGTACGTGTCTCGACTCAACGAAATGGAATCTCGCGGAGAAGAGTACTTCTCCAAAATGTTATTTCTAGATCGCATTGAACGGACCGGACGTTCGATAATGTTCCCGCATACTGAGCTACTCGATCCTTCCTAAAGAGAAGCTGTTTTCCCGTATTATGCATCGTAAAATAATCATCGATCGCAAAAGTGAAGACGCAGCGAAGACCAAAATCCGTATTCACATCCTTATTTGACATCATAAATTTAAAAAAAATGTCCGGGTAAGTTTAAAATTTTATATAGTTTACACGATCAGCGCGAATGAATTGATTTTGAAGATATGACTGATAAGAGATATAATATTTCGACTTTTTTCTGTCAAATAAAAATATCGTTTTATTAGATGTGAGTACGGACATGACGAAATAGCTGACGTGACATATCCATGTACATACACATAAGCGTCATAGTTATATTAGATATTGTACTTGTATAATATATGAAGTACTTGTATACGCAGAAGCGCTGTCGTGCCAACATACCGACGGTGTATGTTCTTTTTAATTGATAAATACGTCCTGTATATATTATTTCACGTGAATTATTGCAACGTGACGAAATGCAATCAAGATTATATTATATATCTCTAATATTATTATTAGACATATACTACTAAAAAATAAATCATATATACTACGATTGTCATCGTAGTCGTCATCGTATGATTAGGTATGTTTTAAATTAAATTCGATCGTAATTATTATTATAATGAATGATGTGATGTTATGTAAGTAATGTGTAATGTTGTATATATAAGAAAAAAATTGAAATGCATATAAAATGATTTAACTGCTACATGTTCCTCGGTTCCTCTATTATAATATCCTCACAAAAATGGCATGGAATTGCATGGGAAGAATTACGGAATTACATTGATTACGGTCAAAACAAATAGTATCAATACCAGTAAACAAATAGTAACAATACCAGTAATAATTTTAATTTAAAAAGTAACGATCTAACAATTCTTTGACTTGCGTTTTTGAATTAAAGATCTTAATAATTTCTTTACACAAAATTTTTTTTCACATAGGTACTTCGAGCATTATCATATCAATTGTAATGAAATGAATTATTTGAATAAAAACGATATTCAGAGTTTAAAAATAAAAAAAATTACAGAGATTCGGGATAATGTCAATTAATAATTTAATAAACTTCGTAGTGAGTAATTTTTATTCGTTATATACGTTTCAAAGTATATGAAATATTCTTTATAAAGAAAAGCTTTTATAATGTAAGAAACATGTGATTTATCTATTTATTTTAGCTGCACGAAATATCTTTGTTGTTTTTTATACTATAAAAAATTGAAAAAATATTGTTTATAAATAATATTTAAAATATTATTAATAATTATATAAATAATATTTATTATTAATAATTATATAAATAATATTTAAAATATTATTTATTGAAATAGTTAAAACAGTTAATAATTTATATCACGATAATAATTTTTCATACTTTTTCAAATTTATCGAAATATATTTAAATAAAATTGTACGATTTTACATATAAACTTAAAATCATTTTGTCATATAAAAAAGTTATTTAAGTAAGATCATAAAAAATTAATATAAGCTAAAGTTATAATTTATGAGATATATCATATTCATAATATATCTCATATTTCATTCTGATGTATTTTAACATAAAATGGAATGAAATATCTCGTAAAGTACACTTCACTTTTCATCTTTATCTTAACATTTTTGTTCATGTATTTAATGATGTACGTGTGTATAGATATAGATGCAACATATTTGGAATGTACAATCGTTCTTTTTCTTTAAATGCAATCATATGTTTCTTTTTACATCAATTGGCTTATCTCATTACTTTCCACAATATCATTCGTACGCGTGTATTTTGCAGCAAATACGTGAAATACGAGATACAACGTTTCATTTTCTTCGATGAATTCGATATACTTGTACAAATTGCACCGTTTAAGAAATACGAGGAAAATATTGGGCTGGGTTATCGTAACGAGGACTCATTACTATGTATCAATACGCTGCTTCTTTGGAAACTTGATGTCCGTTATTTTTGTACCCAAACAACTATCTTGCCATGATCGCAACATTTTGATCTTTCGCATCCGTATAACAGGCGAATAGTAGCCAATTTTTCCGTTCTTTTTTTTCCTTTCTGTCACACCTTTTTCCCCTAACAACGTTCGTCAAAGATGCGAGTCTTTTTTTCTCCGATCGCCTTAATCGGTGTCTTTCCTCGTGAAATTATCCCGCTTCACCTAGAGCTCCCTGTACCGGATGTGGCTACGTTTACTACCTATAATTGCGGAGGAGTCCCGCCGCGCTGTCCCACCCAATTATTTGGAGACAAATACCTGCCACCACCGAGACCGAGGATTCTGAACACATCGTACAGGATGCATCTTCGTGGATTATTACTCATGGATTATTGTTCATGGATCAATTTATGTGATAAACAATTTACGTTATTTCAGACTGTGTATTCAGAGCAAGTAAATTTAAGATGTGTTATTAGATGATTTATATGATGTCTTAAAAATATGCCGAGAAACAATTATTAAACATGTTATAAATATATTAACTATATTAACTATTTAAATACTACTATCTGATATCACATGAATGTTATATCTTGTTACTTAAATTATGTTACCTAAAAAATATTAATACTATACACTGAAAAATATTATCTCTTGTTATTTTATATAACGATAAAAATCAGCACAGAAATTTAATTATTCATTGTTAACCAACTGTTCATTGATAATTATCTATCTTATCTATGACTAATGAGTTAAGCTAATAATTTTCAAAAAGCAGAGCGATGCGTGTTCTTAAAAGAGCATAGTTGACGGAAGCGTCTCCGCTGTCCCAAATGTCTCCACTGTCAAATGTTTCCGCTGTATGCAAAAAACTGGTGAGTAATCCGTTTCCGACAAGAAACAAGCAAGTACAATACTATCGATCGAAAGACGCGTCATCGGAGCCCTGTCTCGAATCTCATCTGAAGCGGAGATCTTTCTACGATATTTTTAGTTTTTAACGTAGACACCGCATCAGTGGGGAACCGGGGCGAAAGACGCAGCGATCAAACATTACAAACATTACAAGGACTCTAAATATCAAGATATCGAGATAATTCTTTATTAAGTTCCGTAATCGAAATTCCACGCTGCCAACAACTCGTTGACCGCTACATTGGATATAAAAAAACTAGATGAATTAAAGGCCAATATTTTTTGAAAAATTTAATTCAAAAAATATATCACATTATTTGACATGCACATTTGCGTGCATCTACTAACAACGATGCGGAGTGAAGTATTCTTCTCCCATACAAAACTGTATAGAACTATATAGAAGCGATGACGTGCGCAGCACGAGTTCTTAAATTAACTCGCGAAACGACAGGAGAATTAAACGTCCTTATTATTTAATGTTACGTTAACAAAATGTATTTATTTTTATCAAATGTGTAAATAATACCGTTTTTCGAGAAAATTGTAAGTTTATCGTGTAATCTCGCGAGTCACACAAATCGAGAATTATGCAGATCATTGATGCCTCACTACTGCCTTATTACTCATTGCCCTCCCCAACCGGATCAGTATACATACAGCCTGAAAATTAATTTACGCTCATGCACACATTACTTGACACGCACAAGCCACTCTTCGTAGCGTAATATTACTTCATATTTACCGAGCGGCGGAGAAGAGAAAATGGATAGCGCGAATTAAGAACTAATTCGATATTCTAAGCCTCTTTCTTTCCTATCACACTTCTGTTTTTTCTTGAACGAAGAGGTTTCTGTACAATACAAAGATGCCTATGATAGCTTGAAGATAACGAACGCAATTACGGAGGATTATTCATGCATGGGTGATTAATTAGATCTATATAGTGTTTGTTAGTTTCCAGTATGGAGCATGCAGTATTAGCCACTTTGTCAGGTTATCTGATTTCAAACGCGCAACGTGGGAATGTTGTCTTGAGAGACCCGTTAATAGCACCGTCGATCTCCGGGTGATATCGAGAGGGTACGCGAATAAATTTTTCAATGGAATTCACTCGGAGGAAAACAGCGGCATAAGATGAGTCCATAGAGAATATAGAAGTAGTGTTAATAACATCGTTCCGTTTGATCGCCATTCTCGAGTATTGCATATACAACTACGTCCGCATACGTTGCGTATACGTACGACACGCGAAACATATTTATAAAATCATGAGCGGCGCGTTGCTATATTTATACGAGCGTAGAAAATTTATTGTGATTGCGCTTTGCATGAGAGAGCGAACGCGAGCGCGTTACGCTTTTTCCATGCCGCCACCGCCGCCGCCGCCGCCGCCGCCGCTATCTCATCGCCAAATGGCGGCTCAATTTCGCGACGGAAACAACACGCTTATGGAAATTGATAGTTTCGATGAAAAATAAATCTGCCAACGCGACGCGCTCATCGCACGCTCGTAGATATATTCAGAATCATTGCACGCAAGATAGTGACATTTATCAGCGATTTTCAAGTAATTTTAGGATAGTGCGAATAATATCTACATTTTGAATTGTTAATCCAACTCGAAAAAAGCTGATTTAAATGTTATTTTCCAGAATAAGAATTTCTTGTTGCAAAGAGAGAATTAATCGGTATCATTAATTTGATTATTAATCTATCAAAAAACAAAGAGGAGGAAGATGACAAAAACAAAATTATTCTTAAATTTATATAAATTTAAAAATAAAAGAAGATTATTAAATGCCATAAATCTTGTTTGGTTACATAATATTTTAATTTCATTTTTATGTTTAAACTCAAAAAAGACTTTTCGCAAAAAGACTATTTAAAAAAATTTTTAAATAGCGAATTAGAAAGAATATTCTGTTCTATGACTAATTTCTAATGACAAATAAAGATATTCAACACCTAAATAAAGATATTCATTTTATAGAAGAGAGATCTGAAAAAAATAAAATTATTATTCAATAATCTTTTAGCGGAGAAAATACTCTGGTTTCGTTTCGGGGAACGGCGCAACATCTAGTTGGGTGGTATTTTGATCGGACGCAGGAGGCCGATCAATTTTCATGGCGGTTAAGTGCCTCGTGCACGTTTCCTAAAACACAGTGTCGAAGCACCGTTCATTTCCTGCCCGTAAAACGGGTCTCTCCGCAACTATCTTGCGAAGCAGTTTCTCTATTTCCGATCGTTTGCGGTTTCAACACGGCGGGAACGGTCTAGCCGTGTTAAAATCGAAACCGTCTTTTTTTGGAGAGACGCCGCCAGGCAGACGGCGATCACGTCTGTTCGTTCCTAGGTCACCGACGTGGAGTCGTTAGGAACGAGTAATACTCGTGCTTGTAAAGATCGTCTGCTTAAAAGAAGAAAGTATAAATTATAAAGAAAAATACACACAAAAATAGAACATAATAATCAGAAGTTTTAATACAAAAACTAATTTAATGACAAGAGAGTGAATGTGTAGTATCTCGAAAATGAATTAATCTCTTGACATTCAAAACAAAATGTTAACATGTCTTCTTATAAGGACAGATGGAGGGAAACACAAGCGAAAGTAATAAAAGCAGCGAGTGTGACGTGTCTGAGACAAAAATTGTACTTGTCAAACGCTTTTCCGTCGTTCCACGCTTTTTCGTTTTCAACTACGTAGTGTTGGAATTGCGCGCTCCCTTGTCGCGCGACAAACGACAGGCGACAGACGACAGCTCGAAAAAGGCGACAGTCGCTCCTGATCCGGTAGCGAGGCGGCCATTTAGGATGATTGCCCGATTTTATGTATTTATACTAGGAAACCGTCGGGCGGGGCACGCTTTTCACCGCGCCGACGTTTCTGTCTCTCTGTCGTTAATAGAAATTTATTTTTCGTTCAGCTTATATCTGTGCGATGAGAATGGTGCAAAATTTCACACAGCGCAAACATAATTCCAATAAATGAAATAAATGAAATAATCTTCGAATTAAATAATTCTTCGAAAGACGATATAATTATAATCTTCGATATATAATTCCATAACTTCAAATTGTTATATATTTGAAAAACTACTACCATTTTATTATATCGTGTATATTAATTTAGCAATTCCGCTATATTTCCAATTCCATGTAAAATGTATATTACTTATATGTGGGATTATGTTGAAACTTGCAAGGGACATAGGAATAAATCGTACATCATTCACGTTACGACTCGTATATTCAACGAGGTTTCAAGTCCTACATTATTCCTCGATAAGTTGTATTTCGCGATCGTCACTATTTATTTTACGAGACTGCAGAAGTTGTCGACCATCAAGTCTTCATTGTCATGATATACTAACAAAATTACCTTTTAAAAAGGTAAAAAAAAATTGCCAAGTTCACGCGCCCCTTTTTTTATTTATGTAAAAGAAAGAATTTTATATAAAAATTTCTATCTACAAAAGTTTTTTAGTAATAATTTTATATTGATATAAAAGTTGTGATATCAAGAACTGACGCCAACTTCTAATTTAATAAAATAAAAAGAATTTTACAACAAAATACGTTTTATTTTGTTATTCATTTTTATTTGAAAAGTCGTTTCATTATTTTTACAAAATACACATGATATCAAAAAATGGCGCAAACTTTTAATCCTATAAAGTAAAAAAGAACTTTGCAAAAGTGAGAAAAGATGTTATCAATCCAAAATTAATGTCAATTATTTATAGTTGCCAAAAAAATTTTATTGAATTATTGTACTTGTCGTTATATAAAA